CTGAGCCCAGGTCGAGACGCCCTCCACAATCTCTATCAAAAGAATTTGTTGGCCGATATGCTAAACAACTTCAAGTTCAAATCAAAGCTTCGAAATCTACTGAGTTTCCTCACGCTTTATTTCATTCTCTCTTGAACATTGAAAATAAAGAAAGCTCATCTATACGAATTGACATTTTGTGATATCTCCGCTTATCTCTTGAAATTATCATTTAATGATTAATAACAGCCAGTGAGTATGAGTATCAAAATAACATGCACAGGTAACAAATTTAACAATCCAATTAACAACAGGTAAGAGGTAGAATTTGGAATGAAATCCCTGTCAAAACGATACTGTACACTATAATGAGAGTATTACATTGAGATCTTTAGAATCCGCGAGCTAGCGCACTATTAGGATTTTTATGTCTCTTTACATGCTCATCTCTGTTCCTTTTGCTACCAAATTCTTTATCACAGTGGGGGCAGACTAAATTTGCTGCGTCCAAGAACAGTCGCGATTCATGGCATCGACGTTCATGTTCACGCATTGCACGAGAAGTTGCATATGTCTTCGGGCAGTAGGCACATCTAAAGTGGAAACATCCATAGAAGTAATTTCGTAGCTCTGCTTGAAAATTCTTACTTGAATGGTCTTGACAAATCTGTATGGTGATCAGCAATATGTTTAAGCAGCAAACTTCGCTTTTCAAAAACCTGAATATCAGTAATGATTAAAAAAAACAAAAAACGTGCAAATAGCATGATCACCTCTTTACAGAGATGACATGGCGTGACAATTTTTGTTGAAGTCGAAGGCAGAATTTCTGAATGTGTCATAGTGGTGTGTCGTCTGATGTCATTGATAGTACGTGCTTTGAATCCGCAAAAATTGCAGCTGAAAGCAACATTTTGACTTTCAAATGCTGAGGTCTCGTTGTTATTAACGCCAACGGAAATCGCTGGCTGAGATGAGGAGTCTGAGAATAAAAAAATATTCAGCGCAAGAAATGGGAGTGTTCTCACAATGATCTGTATGAGATGTATAAGATTCAATATAATCCAGAATGATTTTAGAAACAAATATAAGAAATGGCTGAAGTGCTGAGGATTTCTTGTTTAGAAGTAAATTTGGAAGATCTGCGAGATAAAAATTGCAACATATGTGAATAATAAATAATAGTGAAAATATTTCTGAACTCACGGGTAGCCTTTAGCGCCCTCAATGTGGCTGATATCTTCGGGAGGCTTCGATTGCAAACTAATTTTTTGCATTACTCGTTGTGGAAGTTCATCGAATAAGGTGCCATCAAGAGAAACATTTCCGGGTGGCTTAAGCTAAAAGATCTGATCTTTGAGAAAGTTAAAGAGAGAAAAGGTAAAACATTCACATTTGCAGTAGACAAATTCGGACTAGCGTTGCTTTTATCCAGGGCATCCCTCAGATTCTCCACATTCAACTGCTAAAAAAATTATTCTTTCCCCACGATAAAGTGAAAAGTCTGAGCTAACCGTCTGTGAAACCAATTCCGCACGTCGAGCAGGTACAACCGCTCGATTTATTGGTGATAACCAAGACAATAAGGATCCTAAAAATGAAACCGCGTTTAATTCGTTATCAAATTTCCCCATTAGTACCTTTTGACATGGATCCTGCTACGCTGCTTGGTTTCAAAGGTTTTGGTGTACTTGTAGATGGTCCTGGCAAAGTACCGATATTGGGATGGAAGGGATCGGAATATATATTGCTATCAAAAGACAGTGTGCGCGCTTCTGCATTAAAGGCAGGGCAGCTGCTAGAGATTTTGATACGACCGGGCCCGTCTGAAAAATTTGATCACGCTTTAAAATGTAATAAACGAAGCAGTAAACACATAAACAGAATCAAAAGAACATAGATTTAAGAAAAGAATGGAAAAACCAGCAAACCTTGCTTATCTTTTTCCGACATAGCCGTTATTGCCGCTTGAGAGTGCTCTGTTAGATCCAATCCATCCCCTTGGTGTAGTTCGAACTCCCCTACTGACTCTAGGTGGTCGTCTTGCGGTTCATAAAAAAAATAAAGAATAAGGAAATTATCCGATATATGAACATTGTGACTCCGGCCATACCATCTCTTGGTTCGAGCCGCCTTCCCTGTTAATCTCCTCATCAGAAGACGGCAATTGTGGAATCCGATCGTTAACTGGAGCTAGCAAAGGAAGTTGGAAAATTTATTGCACAAGTATTAATAGTCAAAATTTCTAAACATTAGAGAAATGCTTGAAACACATACCGTAAGAGCGAGACAACCTTCTTACAGATTCCACTTTCTGTTCTTCCTTAAAGCTGCATGCAGCATGTGACGTTTCAGATTTTCTAGTGCTTGGCGAGGACGCATTTGGGCCAACGCGTTCACTCTCAGCATCATCAAGACGACCTTGACCATGCAACGGCGCCAGCGAACTAACTGTGCTGCTGAAAATCTTCTCTTCTGAGAAAGTCTCAAAGCTGAAAAAAAATGTTTAACGTAATTCCATAGGGGCACTATACCCGCCCTCTTTTTTCAAAGCGGAAAGGGCGTGAATGGAGATAAACTGACCAGATGGCACTGTTAGGAAGAAGCTGGTACCCTTGGCTTTCAGGTTGCGTTAAAGATAGATCCCCTTCCGACATATCCTCTTCATTGGTGACGTCTGGTCGGAAGCTGGCAGCAATAAATAATAAGTGGGCATCTTAAATCGTGGAACAATGCAATACAAATTATGTAGATCTCTTACCTTTCATGTACAATCGTTGCATGTTTCAACATTTGAGCAGTGTCTGGAAGCGATGCCTCGCAAATTGCACATTGCAATTTACCAATTCTAATCGAAGTAGCAGGATCAATATAGGGAAACTCATGCGATATATTCCAAGTGGTACTTAAAATATATCAAATTATCAGAA